ATCACAATTAATTAACTGCAACTCCACCATGTTGTAAAGAAGGAATGAAGGACCAGAACTATTGATATCATTCCCCATCCAAGATGGGAACATCTTTCCTTTATAACCATTAATAGTGAGGCTTTTCAAAGTTGAATGAGGTTGAAGGCCTTTTAGAACCTCTTCATCATTGTTGTTGTTGACTGCTCTTTCATCGCCACTACTCCAATGTAATGCCAATTGATGCAATTTGGTCTTTTCTTTCAGGTTTGCTTTAGAGGCTTCTAATTTGGATCTTACATGTTCAAGCTTCAAAATCCCTAGTTTTCCTCCAAGTTGGCTTAAGCATCCAAGGTCTTCAATCTGGAATCCCCTTTTTGTGCCGACAACAAAGTGTGATAATGTTCGAAGGGAGGTTAACTGCATGATAGATATATCATATGGATGAATAGAATAGATATGCCTCCAGCTGATGAGATTTGCTATGCCATTGGGACCACAATCGAGAAATTTTGAAGTTTGCAAATTATAGAGCTTAGAGAAGGTTTTTGGTGCTACTGTTACATAAGCTCTTGAGATATCAAGGTACTTCAAATGTTTCAATTTGCCGAGAGAAGTCGGCAACTTCTTATTCTGATCTGCCATTAATTTCAAGGATCGCAAGCTTTTGAGATCTGATGCCATGCTACAAAAAACATCAACATCTGAAAACAAAGAATGCAACCTTTGAGCAACACTTCTTGGAATGGTTGGAAGATCCTTTCCATTGGACTGGACTCTCAAATGTCGAATAGTACTACAATTCTGAACATCAAAATTGCAACTAGTGTCCCAAACCAAAGTCTCACCTTTTGACACAAGCAATGCAAGATCATGCACTACATCATGCATTTTGCAAGATTCAATATTCCCATAAAGATCCCATTTAATATCTTGAAGTAAAGAATTAGATAACAACTCATTGAAATACTCATTACCAATATCCTCCATTTCCACAAGGCTTCCATTAGAATTGTGAAGAAACCCTTGAGCCATCCAAAGTTGAATTAAATCATCTTTGAAAATGACAGCATCCTTTGGAAAAATTGAACAATAAGAGAAGCACGTTTTTAAGGATGAAGGAAAACGATCGAAACTAATTTTCAATATAGATAAAATCTTCTTATTTTCATCTTGCAAAATCCATGCTTCATCATCTAGGATCTCTTGCCACTTATCTGTCTTCATTTCATGACTCAGTGCTCCTCCAATTACACTTGCAACTAATGGCAACCCACCACATTTTTTGGCAATTTCTTGTCCAATACCTTCTAAATCCAAAGGTATTGAAGTTTCTGTTGATGATCTGAGAACTATGCCCTCAATTATCAACCAACATTCATGATCTGATAGCTTTACCATATCATGTTTTTGCATTGGAAGTGCCTCCATTATGGATGCTACCGTATCACTACGAGTAGTCACAAGAATGGAGTTTCCACTGGTTTTTAAAATTTTTAACAAACGAGATTTAAAACTATCCCACTTGTCTCTATCATCATTCCACATATCATCAAGAACTAAAAGAAATGTTCTATTTTCTAACTTCTGCCCAAGCTTCTGAATAAGTGCGTCTATATTATTCATTTGACCAGCAAAGCCATCAAGGTATTCTAACATATCTCCCAATATTGTTTTCTCATCAAATTCCTCGGACACACAAACCCAAGCCACCAGATCATACAACTTTTGTTCTTTTACCATACTGCATATTGATTTTGCTAATGTTGTCTTGCCTATGCCCCCCAAGCCTACTATTGAAATGCCAGAGAGGAGATGTTGACTCCTTATGTTCTCCAGCTTGTTGACAATTTCTAAGACATCATTATCCCTTCCTACAAATTTTAAACAATCAAGGATGGAATCTGTCCTAGGATATGGCCTTGCACCAGCAGTGGAATGACTTTGGTCACTAAATTTGATCAGCAAATCTGAAACCCCATGGTTGTTGATTTTAACCAGAGTCCTATTAATCTCCCTAATCTTATCAGCCATGCTAAGACGAAAGGCAATGCGATTGAAAAGAGCAAAGAAGGTGCGCACCTGTTTCCTCTTTCGGCGTTGAGTCTGAACTTTGTGCTTAAGAACCTCATAACCGTACTCATCCAGTACATCCACTGCATCATAAGCTACATCTCTGAGCTGCTGTAACCAATTCCATATGGCTGGATTGCTTTCTTGCCTCCCTTCAGCATCTTGAAGCAATCCTTGGATCATACTCAGTGTTTGAGTGAGCTCCGTCAGCTCCTTCTCCAGACCCCATGCCATGCTGATTTGTGCAGCAGCAAGTGAAATTGCTTTAGAAACAGCATTCTCTATGATTGGGGTGACGAAGTGAAGGACGAGTTCAGCCATTATGCTTAGAGGCTCAGAGAAAGATGGCTAGCACAATTAACTCTGTAAAAGAAAAGGGGAATAGTGTTAAGGGAGCAGAGATTGTAGCAGCAACTGGACTAAAAATAGGTTGAAATATTGATGAAGAATCTGCAAATAAAACGTAATCACTTACCAAACCTGATCCTAAGATGCTTAGCCACACAGAAAAATAGCAAACGCAAGAGAATCCTGAGAGAAACAGAGATGATGTTTGCGAGAAAACTGAGCACAGATGAGGAAGAATTGAAATGCAGCCCTGCTTTTATAGACCAGAGACACCACTGTAGCCATACGCGCATATGGATTTCTAGTTAGCCAATGCAATTATGTTTCTGTGATATTTTCTATATTTGTTTCTTCTTACTTTTTCTTCCTTTCCACTGTGAATAATTGACTAAAGCCGGCTGTCCCATTTCTTGGAAGTTCCAATTTACCTTTTCCATTCTGTACAAATTAAAGTCAATTTCTTACCCCATTTTTACGTTACCTCTTTTGCTCTTTTTCTACGGTTAAGTGAATAAAATTTTCCCTGATTCCTCCTTTTGCAGGAGGTAAGTTTCTGGGCAATAGAATTTCCTGTTCCTTTGTTTTTCCTTCTATTACTTTCTAAATGGTAAATTAATAGAATGTTTCCAAAATATCTCTTTTTATGTTGAGAAATTATAACCACCATTTTCAAAATAGAATAGTTTTTACATATCTATCTCATTTTTTAAAAAATTAAGATAAAAATCACACTAAAATATACCATTTTAAATAAAGCATCACAATAAAAGACAAAAAATAATTTAATTCATGTTATAAAAATATGGTTTTTAATACTTTTAAATAAAAATTTATTGAAACAATATAATATATTTCACTCTTCCCTTTTTTAAGTATAAATATTAACCTTTTCACTTAGTTGGCAAAACTATATATATATATAGACTTGTTGCTTTCAATAATAAAATTTGTTATTTCTTCTATCATCAATTGATTTAAGTTGGATACTTGTCTTTTGCTAATACTCATTTAAATTTTTATATTGTGCCTAATAAGCAAAGATATAATTAGTAAAATACTTGGAAATGTTCATAAAATATATGTAATTAAAATGTCAAAAGAGTATTGAGAAGTAATGATCCTACATTTCTTGTCTCTAACATAATTTTCCTATAAAAAAAGTAATTTTCTTAAACTTTATTGAGTTTAATACACTAGTATTTTGTAATTTAAACCGTAAAACACCAACTACTAAATTGAAGGATTCTCACTTATTAATTATTATTAAGGAGCCTTTTATTATCTAATAATTAATGTTTATTGATCTTTTAAACTATAAAAAAAAAAAAAAAAAGAAATTAGCCTCAATTATGTTTTGCACCTTCTGTTGGGCAACAAAAAATTGACGAAAAGGCAATAAGATGTTTATTTGATATTTCTCATTCAATTCTTCCCCATAGCATATCTTTAACTTCCTTTCAAAGAAAATTAACCCATTATATATGTTTGATTTCTTTGATTTTTTCTTTGGTTGGAGCAATTGATACTTCTCCTTTTCTTGGTAAAATTCTGACCATAAAGATGATATCATAATTTTCATTCTCTTAGTCATTCTGCTATTAATATATTTAGGCATTTAATTATAAATTTACTTGTAATATTGCAGATGAAACCTTACAAATACTAAATAATAATAATAATAATAATAATATAATAATAATAATAACAACAAAATGTTACCTCATTCAACTATTGATTTTGATTTATTATGATAAAATGTAAAAACTTATTGATTGATTGATTAGCAAAACTAAGATAGTTAGAATTTATTTGATAAAAAGATTTTACTACTTATCTTGTTTATCAATTTCAATACAAAATGTTACCTTATCCTTGTCTTAAATGTTACCCCATTTTTTGGACAATGACTAATGACAATAGGATGTTTCCAATCCACGAAATTTCATTGTAAATACAATTAAATTTTGAATGAGAAAAGAGGAATGTTGAGAGACGAAGTGGTTGTCAAAGCATATGTCCCACTTCAATTATGTTTTGGATAATTTCTTCAATGACATTCCTTTTACAATGACTAATGTATTCAATTCCCAATATTTCCTTCTTATGTTTTTTTTTTCTTGAAGAAAGAAAAATGTGGAGGAAATATAAAAATGATACAAATCTAAGAAAATTTTATTCATTTTAAGTAAAGCACTACTAAAAATTGTTTAATGTTGACCGAAAGATAGACCTAACAAAAATACACTCGACCCGTCAACCCGATCCTAACCCGACCAGTAAAAATGGGTTAGGGTCTACATATTCTAACCCGCAAGATAACTCATATTATTAACCCGTGCGGGTCACGGATCTGGTTAGGGTTAACACGCAGGTTGACAGGTTGACCCATTTATTTTATTATTTATTATTATTTTTAAATATTATACTTATTATTCTTAATTAATTTTCCTATTGTTAACTCCTTTCATTAATTCACACTCCCTAATTTCTAGAGAAAGATGAAGAAATTATGATGAATTTGATCTAATTATCCAAGTATTTTTTTTTTTTTTGGTATTAACAATTATCCAAGTATCATGAATGAAATGATAATATAACTAAAAATATTAAAAAATGTGATGCTAAGATATAAACATAATAACTTAGTGAAAGATGTTCTTGGAAGAGCAATTTCATCATTAAAAAAATGGCTTAAACT